TAGCACCTACAACAGAAGTAAAAGCTTATAATCTTTTGATCCTAAATATTTGATTCAACTAACCTAAGGACCTCAAATAGGGAAATCACGCGATAATTTGTTTACTTTTGATTTAGTTGATTAATTTCAGATGGAAACAGTTTGGCGGACAGTTTGAGTTGTCTTTGGCCTACATCACACAAGAATGGGTCATCATATTCTATTTGGTCAAAATTGTGACATTTAGAGAGGTTATTATCAAAAATATTTTGCTCATCAATCACTTTTCTGTCAGTTCATGAGAAGGAAAGGAGGAGGGGTTTGTGCTGCATAAAAGTGGAGCTTCTAAATGCATGTGGTAGGAGTTTGCATTACATACAAGTGGAGCTTCTAAAAATGTACGTGGTAGGATCTTGAATCGAGCATATGAGAAACTTTAACACCTCATTTGGTACGCAAGAATGTGTGTGAATGGAGTGCTCATTTCCACTTCTCATTCATGCATAATGCCAAACATAACACCTTTTTAGAAGCTACAATGCTTATTCCCACTTCTTATTCATTCATACTTTTCATTGATTCCCACTTTGTGTGGGAAGCATTCCCAATGAGATGATATGGACTGGGCTTTTCCACTTAAGCGGGAATAAAAAAATTGAAAAAATGCCTGGATTGCTTATTAATTATCCATACCAAAAATAAAAAAAGATTTGTCATTCCCACTTCATTCTCTAATTACATCCAAACGTGAGAAAATGGGAATGAACATTCCATTCCCACGCCTATTCCATTCCATTCCTTATTTTGTTTCATTCTCACTTAATTTGATTCTTGCGCACCAAACGAGGCGTAAGATCCTTATTACAGACATGCTTCAACATCAGGATGGTTTAGTCTTACAAAAATTGTTTAGAGGATGAGGAATATCTTTGTTTGGGTGTTCATTCCTCGCTCGAGCTTGGAAGTCAAAGTTATCCAGCCAATACTGTGCACGGTAAGATGTGGCTTATAGGATAATGTTGGGGCTCATATGCTTTAAGTGGGCCTATACTTATTACATGATGTCTGAGCAGCTCCGTATGCTCCACGCCCTTGAGTATGCCCAGATGAGGCCTTGAGGGTCCTTGCGCCGCCTCCACTTAAATGTCTGCTTGAATATCTGAATGTCAGCAACCTTTATGCTGTAGTTTGATCATTATGTTGGGTTACTAGGGTCATGTAGTTCCCCTATTTCAACCGTGAAGCATTAGCTGATACCTGATTGATTTATGATGCTGAGCACCTTAACATATGATATGGTGAATGGTAGGGCATGATTCCATTTTGCCTTTGTTGTTCTAGAATTGAAATTATGTCTTACAAAATTCATTATTTCAGTACCACATTCTAAATGTGGAATCATCTTTTCACTAAAGTTTCTGAAACGACTTAAGTAGATCCTATGGGTTGTGTAAAGCGGAGAGGAATTAACTACAGATGCATGTCATACGGCATCTCAGTTTCTTGGCATCTTGGCATCTAAAGTTGGGATTTGAACTCATCTTATCTATGCCACAACGCACAAATGTAATTTTTACATTTATATGACAGGTTCTTGTAGGTGTAAATGTGTAATACAATATTATGTCTTATTTGAGTTCCTATATATGCCTCATCCCTTAAAAATTTTATGTCAAAAATGCAACTCTTGCAGGAATCATCACCAGCATTTTCTGCTTCTGTGAGACTAGCTTGTTGCCTACTGTTAAATTTTCAACTTCATATTCTATTTAATTTTCCGTTAATGTTTTATGATTTTTAGTAGTTATAACTTCTGTGTAATTGGTAATATTCCATTATTTCAGGGAAAAGCATGGTTTGGTTTTTGTATCCCAATAAAAATGCATATCCAAAGTCAGTTCAGGATATTTTTGATAGCTCATTTAAGCCTGAAGATCATAGAATGGTATGTTTATTTGTGCTGCACTTGCTGAATTGCTCTCTTTACTTATATTCTGTATAATATCTCCTCCAACATACTTTGGGACTGATTATGACATAATTCATTTTTCCGTCGGCCGTTTTTAAGTATTTTAACGGAAATCTGGGACTACACCCTGGATATTCCTTAACAGTCTTCGAGGGATATTTTGGTCAATCCCAGAGTGTTGGGGCAAATTAGCAAATAATCAGAGTTGTGTGTATATCTGCAAATAAGACAAATTTGGGTATATAAGTACAAACACTATATGCTATTGACTGTCAGCACCCTTAATTGTTTTTCATTCTTATTTTCCTTTTTTGCTTGATCACAATGATAATAGCCTTGTGTTTCTTATTTTCACTCTTTACCTGTTCACAATTACGATTTTTGCAAAAATTTCTTATTTACAAAATTAAACTATATAATGCATGATATTTCCAAGTCTCGTGATGCCTGATTTTGTATTTCTTCATTTATTCTAATTCATAATGTCTCTGTTCTCATATTTTATAGTTGGGAGCAATGGCATGTATACTACCAGCCAATCATCAATATAAAATTTCCCAACTCTAAATTATTGTTCATCTTCCAATTTATGTAGGATCAAATGGAGAAGCCTATAAATTTTGTTCTACTTGATGGCACTTGGAGCAATTCAGCTGCAATGTATAGACGATTGAAGGTACTGTTCTAGTTTCTTTTGTTGTTTTGAAGTTACTTTGAATCTTTTGAAAGAGACTAAATAATTAAGGAAGAGTATGCAAATTTTCGTGCTTGCCTTGCTTTGAAACCAGTTTGTTGTGTGTGATCCAATTTTTTTTGGCGGTGTTGATGTTTTTCGAATGCTAGATTAAGTACTCCAGATGGTTCCAGAGCGCATTATTTACATATCATATACTACCCCATATTATTGAGGGTGAGCCTTGGCACAACGGTAAGGTTGTTGCCTTGTGACCTGGAGGTCATGGGTTCAAATCCTGAAAACAGCCTTTTCGCATATGGGGGAAAGGTTGCGTACATCTGGCCCTCCCCAGAGCCCACAATGGTGGGAGCCTTGTGCACTGGACTACCCTTTTATACTACCCATATTATTCCAATTTAGGCCTTAACTAGAGCTAGACTTCATTTTCCTTGATAAATTACTTTTATTAACTAATTACATGTTGCAATAAAAAATATCATTAACTCTGAAGGCCAAGGGACACGTGGAGATTTTTAACCGTGAACTGTGTGCTAACAAGAAGCACTAGTCATATTTAGTTTGATTGTTGTTGGTTGGCGTTTTCCTTATTATCCTTGGCTAGAATCTTATCCAAACCAGAAAACATGTAGGGGCTATATATTTATTTAAACCACGTACTATTTTTAGAGTTTTATTAAAAATAAAGAACTAAAGACCTTAAACGCGCTTGATAAGAGGGGGCCTGAATTTGGAAACTGAGGGTAAGGTAATTTTGTAAATTTTACCTTTCCACTGTTTAAAATTTAACGACATCAAAAGTGAGGTGTAGGAAAACTCATTGTGTGGGATTTTGGGGTAAAGTTGCAAATATCTAGGTTTGGGGATAAACATAAGTTTCCATTGGATACTAGGATTTCCACAATAATTGTTTTCCGAATTTATTTCCTCACCTCAAACATCAATAATTATCCAAGAAGCACTGGTTCAATGTTTCACGTAACAATATTCACAAAACTTCATGCCTTAGAAGTTATTCAAGCAAGTGTTTCCCCTGTTTACAGGAAAAATGGACATCAGTATGGGGAGAGGATGATCTTCCTTGTGTCTCACTCTCGACGACAGGTGCTTCCGTGATGCACAAACTTCGGTAACAAATTAAATAAAAAAAACTCACGCTCATTTTTCACTTCCCCCCTCCACCTTGTTCTTATTTCTCTATCTTATTATTGAAAGGCCTCAACCATCTTGGGACCGAACATGCACAGCAGCAGCAGCAGCTGGTGTGCTCTCAGAGCTAAGCTATCATTATCCTGAGAGCAATTTGTATGGCTTGGATAAACAAGCAGAAGCTATAGAAAATGGATTAGATGTTTTGTTAGAAGCCCTCACCGCTCGAAGACTTCGAAGAGGAAGATCCATTGCTCGAAAGGAGAGGCGAAATTGTATGTGAAGCAACATTATGGGATACGTTCTACTCTTTTTAGCTTAATTGGCAAAATTGCCCCTTGAGTTTCTAGAGGAAGGCTGAGACAGGAAAAAAAAAACTGGGGAAGTAAGATATATTTTCAAGTACAATTTTACTGATTCTGCTTCATAAAAGCCCACGGCTTATTGTTTTCTTGTAACTGAAATTTTCACTCACCACTTGTCAGTTTTTATTTGCAATTCAACTGATTTTGGATTTTCAGATACGTATCTAACTATATCAGTAAATGATAGAAATGATAGCATAAGCCATCAGTTCCAAATAGATTGTACTCGATGTTCTTTTGAGTTTTAAGTTGAGTTATTTTAAGCGTTTGGTATATCTATGTATATGTTCCAGTTACTGGTAAAGCTCACTTATCACGTAGTACCTTTATGTACCTGCCATCATTTTTTCCATTAATGGATACTATTGTTCTTAGCAATTTTTTTTAGTTGTTGAGAAATCCCACCCATTTATTTATTATTTCAGTCCTCTATGTTGTAAACATGCGAAGCAACAAAGGAAGTTACAATAATAATTAATTTATCTGAAAAAATAATATCCTAAATGAAATGAATGACAAAAATAGGATTCATGTAGTCAATCCTAAAAATTTGGGATAATTCCATTGTTATAGTTGTTGTTTCTCATGCTAAATGTTGATTATGTTATAAACCATGCAAAGTAAGGACAAGGTCACACTAAAAAAAAGTTTTAAAATTTCCAAGTGATCTAGAGAGGAAATGGGTTAGCTGAGTTTTGGTAGGTAGCTTAGCTACCTTAACAAGGCCACTGCCTCATAGAGCCCATAGAGCACAGTGATATTGTAATACATCAGCACAAAACAACACAGCTCTGGACAACAAAACAACTGCAGATTACTCTGTCACTTGGCAACTTAATCTAGCTAATAACAAGTACACTTTCTCATTAACAATAAAATTTCATTAACATAGACATTGATAGTAGCATTGTTTACATATTCAATGAGAATTGGAGAAAGCTAAGCCTGCAGACTTGCTTTTCTTTCTTTCAGTATAGTAGAATATGTAATTTGTGAATTGTGTGAAGCAAGATGATCAAGTAAATCACAACACCGACAAATCCACAAATCATCGATCCCATAACTTGATGACAGAAGTTTTCCATCTGGCCACAGATTGGCAGCCACCCTGAATGTCGATTGCCTTTCTTTCCAACTTCGATACAGAAGCAGTTAGCAGCAAAGTGATGACCTGAAATCAACAAGAATAGGCCAAGATAATAAGAGAGGACATAAACTAATCAGAAATGTTGTGAACTATTTGATAATCCCGAAATATGTTGAATTTTACCATGTCAGAGGCTAGAACTAATCTCGAGAGGTAATTAGTTGGAGGGATAAAGAGAGTGCAGAAGCTGTAAACAGCTCCAATAGCATTGGCAACCACAAAGAATCTGCATTCATGGAAGTGACAGCAGTGAGATTTTTACTGTTGGAAATATTCTGAACTTTTCTTTATGCAAAAGTTCTGTCGGCAGTGATGTTAGATCGATGTTATTCATTCTTAATCTACTAGAAATGATTTTCAACTGAAAAGCATGAAGAGACATGTACAATAAACGCTAATTCCACGCCAAGATTGGGCTTCATAAATTCAAACATGTGATTTTCATGATCTGATTTACTCGCTATAAACTTGCGTAATGATCACTACATATAACTAATTTACACGGGAAAACAAATGGAGTTGAGAATCCAAGGGGTCATCTGCAACAATAGTAGAACAGTGGTCTATCCACAATTTGGCAAATAGTGCAGGGGGGGGTCTATAATTAAAAACCCAGGAAAGAGGGACTTACTTGAAAGCTGGAGTATACTGAAACTTGGCTTCCAGAGTGATATTTAAGAATGCGGTGGTCTCATTGGCAGTGGCAGTCGCCGCAAATGCCAGCAGCCTGAGAACAAGGGTACAAACCTTTGAAGCCTTCGCCATTTTGTTGACGCGTGCAGAGGAATGAGGAGAAACTGTTAGTCCGTTTAAGCATTTAACAAGTGATTTATGATTGTTTGAAAATGCTAAGGTAGAGAGGAGATGGTGGGTAGGAAAAGAAAGATTGATGGAGGTTGAGCTTTGGGTTTATATTGGTCACCTGTTCTTGCTCATGTGTTGACAAACTTCAGCTGTCAATATCTGCCACTGTGATCAAGAGTGCAAGATTGAGCGATATCAAAGATTGTTTTGCTCTATACGTTACTTAGGTTGGAAGAATTAGTTTGTTTGTTTTCTATTTTTCTTCATGTGAGGAAGTGAGAAGGAAGTTTTTGGTGGTTAGCCCATCTACTTTTTTTTTTCTTTAAATTTTATTTTTGTCCTAGGATGGGCCTAGTGAGGAATTTTAGCATCTCGTGCTAGGATTCACAATGTCACTTTTGACATCAGTCACGCTTTTGACACCAGTCACAAAGGGGTAGCCATTAGCCAAGCAGGATCAATTGCATTCAGTTATTTTGGGATACTATGTAGCTTAGAATCTGCGCACCTACACTTGCAATGCTTAGGTCAGCTTGGTTACTTTGGGAGTGCTTGACAACCATGTTGTTTCATTTATTTCTATGGTGTTTTTACCAAAATAAAGACACTATAGGTTTGAAAACCATAGTGTTTTTACGAGAAACTCAAAACACTTACAAGAAAAAAGCAAAAACAAAATACTTATATCCAAACACCGAAAAGTTTTGTGAAGTGTTTTGAGTTTAGTAACTTAATATTTAATAAATTATAATTAATACAACATATAAACAAAGCTTAATATAATATATTATAAAATATTATAATATGTTATATTTGTACTAAGTAATATAATTTATTATTATAATATGTTTTATTATAATTTTTATATTGTATAAAAATATATTCAATATTTTAGAATATTATATAATAATTTCTATGGTATTAATAATTAATTAAATATAATCTATTATGTTAGATCATAAAATATGACATTATAATATATTATATTATTATATATACATTTTGATACAGTATTATATATTTTAGTTAGTATAATATATTTCTTGTTGATGTTAAATGATCACACAGTCAGTTATGTCCAGGATTAGAGAATTTTGGCGAGAATTGATAAGAGGTCGCTTTCTTCCCCAACTTTATGTCTCGTTCCTGAATTGGGAATCTGAAAAATCTGCACATGTAGAAATTCGTAAAAGGACGGGGCTTAGTTCTCCCTGTTTACGTCGAAAGTTGGTTTATTTGTCGAATCCATTGCACGTTTATTGATTACAATGAATTCAAAAGAGTTAGTCTTTTTATAAGACTACTCGCTTACACAAATAAAACAAAAATTACAACTCTCTTCAAACACATGCAGAGGACGTTTATCACCCGCTGCTTGCGTGAGATCTTTGCCTGTGTCGGGGTTTATTCGTGGACCGCCTACGGATCGGATCCGGTTGATAGAATGATTAATCAGAGCTCTTACTTCACAAAGGAAGTAATCGCTAAAATGATAATCTCGACCAAGCGAGATTACGACTCTTCTCGAGATCAAGTCCAAGCCTGATCTCAAGGAATGGGGGAACGTGGCTTCAGATCTCTCAAATCCACTCTTTATGCACATGATATCGCCAAGATCTAGCTAGCCTCTTCTAAAATTCGTGGGGGTTGACTCACAAAACCAGCAGCACCTCGCCCTCTTGATTAAAACTCTGCCCCCTCTGAAAGAAGGTCCTAGGCTCGTATTTATAAGGCTTCGGATGCAGGGTATTTGGATAAGAATAAATGATTTGGCCATATCTTCAGTTGACAATAGCCTAACCATATTTATAGATGATATCAAGTCAGTTGGGAACCTTTGAAACGAAGAAATCCCGAAAGAATCAACCGAAAACGCGTTTTGGGAAGTCGGGTGCGCGGTAGGTCCTGGTGTCCCACGGGGACGCGGGACACTAAATGGTGTCCTGCGAGGGCGCGGGACACTTTGGGATTTAGCCATTTTGGCCTTCCGGACTTGTATTTTTCGTCGTTTTGCGTATCTTATCGTTTGGTCGACTTGTATGCTTCGCTGACTTGCTTCATGCGCTCGTTAGCTTCTTTACGGCTTTGGATGATCCTCTTTGGCTCGGATAATCCTCTCCAACTTAGATAATGATGTTCATCGTCTTCTCTTCGTCTTGAGCTGTATTCGTACACCTATAGGCATTTTTAGATGCCTACACCCCCGTTGCACCTCCGACGATTAAGTTAGCTGATGAACTTGAGTGGGGTAAATAAGAAATGTGAGAGTTCTTGTGTGTGTGCGGTATGGTTTATAATTTTAGAGAATTTGAGTCAGGGATCAGATCTTCGGTCCTCTATAAAGACAGAATAGTACATGTATTTATACCTAGGGTATAAGGGTAGATTGGTCACTTCGGCCGACTGCAGGAAGGCGGTGGCAAAGCGTGGGCTGGCAACTGCGTCAGCGCTTGCTTTACAGGTATTAGCTGGTGATTAGGGGACTGATCACTTCAGCATTAAATGAGAAGTGAGTGGTGGTAGGGCGGTGGCCCACGTGGTCCGATGAGTCATGATGACTATTGATTCTAGAGGCATGATGTGCCTGCCATGCATGAAATGCAATGCTGACACATTATCAAAGAGAGAGAGACTCAAGGCGAAAACAGTCCTTTAGCTTCACCGAGAAGTAACGCCCATCGAGTCGTCCTCGTGAGGCGTCTGACAAGTGGTCGAGTGGACTCGATGAGTCATCTTCGACATAAAGGGGGGACAAGTACCACATTTTGAGTCGACATGAGGGGGTGTCGACTTGACAGGTCAGCTGAGTTGTCATCCCTACAAGTCTCTGGACGTCAAGTTGATTGGGGCATAGCATACAGAAGTACACTTATCCTTTGCTCGGCATTGAGTTGCACTCGGGCAAATGGGAACACCATAACAGCTGGTCCCTTTTGCTTGGAGTCTGCTTGAGCCGGGTCCAAGTGAAATCAAATTGGCTTTTGGACGGACATGGGTGTGTATTGAATGAGAGAACCAAGTGTTGATTGTAGTGAGTCGGCCGTGCTGGGACAACCTGATGGTTGAGGGGTTGAGACGATTGGCTCATTTTACGTAGCTTGTGGGCGAGATGTCTGGGTCTTTTGTTGACGAGGACTGGCAAGTTAAAGTGCCTAAGTCTTTTTTGTTGAAGATGTCTGATACTGAACTACATGCTTTGGGTTTACTCATGATAACACCAAAGGCTTTTTGGCAAAATGATAACCCAGAAGTTGGGTGCCTAGGACTTACGTAGACGCCTGGGGCTTGGCAAAAGAACAACCCAGAGGTTAGGTGCCTAGGACTTACGTAGACGCCTGGGGCTTGGCAAAAGAACAACCCAGAGGTTAGGTGCCCAGGACTTACGTAGATGCCTGGGGCTTGGCAAAAGGACAACCCGAAGGTTGGGTGTCTAGAACTTATGTCGATGCCTGAGGGTTAGCAAAAGGACAATCCGGAGGTTGGGTGCTCAAGACTTATGTAGATGCCTGGGGTTTGGACAACTCGGAGGTTGTGCCTAGGACTTACTAAAGTCGACTAGGTCTTTTACAACCCTGGAGCTATTCCTAGGACTTGCTGAAGTAGACTAGGTCTTTCTCCCTAAGGAGGACCACCCTGATAGCAATTAGGTAATATGACAACCCTGAGGTTGGGTGCCTAGGACTTACGTAGACGCCTAGATCTTCAATATAGCCATGATGGCCGAGAGGCGACTGTGGAGTCGACCATATGGTGAATGCCTTGGGTTTATTCCTAAAAAGACACCAAGAGCTTGGAATTCAACCGAGATTGAATGCCTAGAACTTATTAAAGTTGACTAGGTCTTTTACAATCCGGGGGATGTGTCTAGGACTTGCTAAAGTCAACTAAGTCTTTAGCCCTAAGGAGGGCCGCCCTGATGGCAATTAGGGAATATGACAACCGTGAGGTTAGGTGCCTAGGACTTACATAGACTTCTGAGTCTTCAATATAGCCATGATGGTCGAGAGGCGACTGTAGGAGTCGACCATATGGTGAATGCCTTGGGTTTATTCCTAAAAAGGCACCAAAGTCTTGGAATTCAACTGAGGTTGAATGCCTAGAACTTACTGAAGTTGACTAGGTCTTTCGCCCTATGGAGGGTCGCCCTGATGGCAAACTGGTGAAATGACAACCTGGAGGTTGAGTGCCCAAGACTTATGTAGACGCTTGGGGCTTCAATATAGCCATGATGCTCGAGAGGTGATTGTGGGAGTCGACCATATAGTGAATGGTTTGGGTTTATTTCTGATAAGGCACCAATGGCTTAGAATTTATGCATAAATTAGGCACTACAGGAGTGCAAAACAGAAATCAAGTCAGTTTCAATAAGAATTTCATTGATACTAAATGAAATTTACAAAATTATTAAAATAACATAGCGAAATTATTAAAAATAACACCGCAAGTGCTCGATATTCCAGGGATACTGGAGGACTCTCCCGTCTGGGGCCCTTAGTCGGTAGGTGCTTGGTTGTAGCTCTTCTAGGATTGTGTATGTGCCTTCCCAGTTGGGAGGTAACTTGCCTCTCCTAGTGTTTTTGTTGAAAGCATCTTTACAGAGGACGAGAGATGTATTAAGGACAGAGGGCTGGTCTTGGCGACTGATGCCTCTATCAACCCCTTCTGTTGGACTGATTGGGACGAGAGTCAACTCTCAGGGGGGTCTCTCGGGCACTCCTATTTTACAGGGGGGGCTCTGGCCGACTCTGGTGTCGGTGCTACTGCCAGAGCTACTGCTAAAGTTGACGGGGTGGCTGGGATAGCTAGTGTTGTTGAAACCGTGGATGCGGAGGTCTTTGTGGCCCTGACCGACGCCTTGTAGGCACGTGCATCCTCTATTGTCCATATACCCATGAGCTTTGGTCATTAATTGCTCATAGTTAGCGAACGGCTTCTTGGTAAGGGAGTCGGCCAACTCATTG